TGGAATGCTGCATTTTGGACAGGTCGATGTTGCTCTTGCTGTAATTCTAATCACTTGTTGGCGTTGATTCTTCTGCGTCGCATTGCTTTTCGCACGTCCGCAGCATTAGATGTGGAAATAAATGCACGCGAATTTGGCGCCGCCCGCCTCAAAGCAAGGCTCCATACGAGCAGCAGCCTCCGCAGTATGACCTCGCCTATCGCGCGTCAAGCCCACACAATGGATTGAAACCCTTTTTCTCCGTTGCGTCTGGTGTCTGCGCAGCACTCCCAATAGCGCCATTAACGCAATGCAACTACTGCTCCAGGCTTGCAAAATCATCAAGGCGTTGGCTTCCATTTAACTCTGGTGAATGCAATGTACTGCCTTCGTCTCAAAAGTCGTGTATGATCTCAAATTCTTGCTACAACTTACCAAGATCAGCTCCACCCATCAATCTCCCGCCAGATTTGGATTCTTTGGTGTATGCGGATCTTTGCCGTGTTGGTCACCACCATATGACATGGCATTTACAGCCTGTTCAACAATACCCCTGTTCAATTACATGCATGCACTCGATTCCCCGTATTGATACATTGGTCATATTCCGGTATGCCCCAGCCCAATTCGCCAAAATTGATTGAGATACCCGTTGTAGACAACAAATGGGCATTGTTACACACTGAACCTTGTGACATCATGACGATCATATTCTTGAGGTATCGTCGCTTGCAGTATGCTGAATCATTCTGCAAAAATTCTTGTTTACAACAATTGACAGCGCTTGCTTCAATCTAGAGTGTTTTCTTGGTTGATGTATGTATGTATGTATGCAAACCCTTCAAAACCTTGTAAATCTGCAAGATAGATGATCTTGCACTGATCAAGGTGTCTCTTGTACTTCTGCCATCCCTTTAACGCGAACGTTGTTAACGCCCCACTTTTGCAGCGAACTCCAATCCTTTTTCGTGCAAATTGTCCACAAGACCAAGCCGAATCTTTACTGCACACCAAACCAACGAAGCACAGATCTCTCATAGTGACAGCTCAGATCAATTCACCTTATCTTAATGGCAAGACAAACATGCTGTACCCTACCCAGTGCCTGGGAAAAAAATGAAAAACTGTGGTTCAATTCCAATTGGCATAACACAATCATGGCAGCATCATTTAGAACGTTGGATCCCTCTGCAAATAGCTCCTGATACGGTGCTGCGAAGTTGGTTCAGTGAGTTTGTCTCAAAAGTCGTGCCGCGTCTCCGATTTGCACAAACGGAGATAAATATGCGTCATTAAGAAAGAGGTAATATACAATGGTCAGGCTTACTTTTTACGACGTAGAACTTGAATGTATTTACGTTTTTAGGCGTAAAGATAATTCTACGTTTTTACACTAAAAGTTGCATGAAAATACGTAAGTACAGTCTCCTGTACATGAGGACAGTAAATACAGAGCTGGGGACTCCGCGGAGTGGCAGTCTGACACTCGGGAATGGGTAGAAAACGAAATTTTGTTCCATGAGGTCGTTGTCTTGGCGAGGCCACGATGGGCATTGTGTTGCCGGTGATTCAGATGGTGGACGACTGATCTTTGCACGCAGCTTTTCATCGTGCAGCCTGGCTGTCCCAACGAGCCGCGAAAACTGTAAACATAGACGTAAATACCAAGCCTGATGACGGTCATCGCTTTGCCAAGGGCTTGCCTTCCCAGCATCACCAGCCCGCCAAAATTATCAAATAAACGTTTTGCACATGCAGGATTCAGCGATACATCCGCGCTCATATCCCGGGATATGTGCCATAGGAAATGGCAAGGTGATTGGGACGGTCTGAAACGCCGTGTTTGCAGTGCGTCGGCGTTGTGTCTTCCACGACCTTTGACCGGTCAACAGCGCGCTGGCGCCGGCGCCTGTAATCAGTTCGAACTACTGTACAAGTGAAAAAGTTTGTGCGGGTAAAAAGTTCGCGCATTTGGCGCTCGTGCAGCTGCAATTGCACGAACTCTTTTCCGCGCGAACATTTTGCCCCCGCTGACTTGTGGCCTCCTCCAAAACGGTACCGGCGCTTCCCGCGCTTTGACCCGTTGGCCTTGCACAACGACGACTGCACCGTGCGGTGGTCTTTGACGAGCAGCGGCTGCACCGAAGGAGCCCTGAGCAGGCCAGCAGATCGCTCACGCCGGAGGCCATCGACCAGCTGCATCTTGGCGGCGAGCAAGTGCCATCGCCCTGACCAGGTGGCTCTATTCTCATCCCAGTTTGGCGCCATTCGTCTGTGGCAGCCGGAGGGTCAGCATGGCACCCGGGGGGTGGCGCGGCACAATTGGAAACGGCGCCACCCTGGCGAAGGTCAAGGGCGGCAGGAGCCCCGTTCCGTAATATTTGGGTGATGTAAATGTTCACGCGGCAACAATTTTCGCAGACAAAAAAGTTTGCGGTAGAAAAAAGTTCGTGCACTGGCAAATGCGCGAACTTTTTATACAGTATTCTTTCAATCAGTCAGTTTCTATCAGGCTTCGTTTAGCGTTTATGCTATGTTTACGTTTTCGCTTTTATGGTTTTACACACAAAAACGTAAATTTGCAAAATGGCCTATTCTTACGCCTATTTTTACGGCTTCCTGACTCACGTAGGTTACACGATGAAAGTCGCGTACAATGATCAGTCCTCCACCATCTCCAGCAGCCAAAAAACAATGTCCACCTCACCTTTGGCAAGGGCGATAATGGCGTTTAACAAAAACTCGTTTTCTGCCTGTTCCAAGGCGTCTGGCTGCCACTCTCCGGACTATGTATGTCTGTGTGTACTGTCCCTATGTACGCCATGCAGTCTTTACGTTGCATTTATGTATTTTTACACATTTTTGTGCATAAAACGTAAATACAATCAGTTTTTATGGCGTAAAAGACAAGCCTGGTTTCTGTTCATCTGTGCATTCTGTGTGCAAAAAGAAAAGATCATTACCTTAATATCACAGCATTATTGCATAACGATTGTCGCGCTGACCGTTTGCGCTCGGTCCGCACTCAGTCGCTCCCATGCCCAGAAGCAAGACCGTAACCAGATGCATTACAGGTTGGTTGTGTCAATTAAGCAAATGTATTTGCGGAACCATTTGTCCCATTCCCCTCTCATTTCTCCATGTACATGTCACCGTGACACCATCACCACATTCACTGTGTTGTACTTCACCATGTATCTCCATATCTCCATAACACACACAATCACTTATCACAATTGTTCTTTCAGCCTCACAATGATTGTGCCAGCGTTGCGCTTATAGACGACATCCATCAATTTGAGCATTCTGGTCTTTGTCATTCCCGCCAAACTCCTCCAACCCCGTGCCAAGCTACCAAGTCCAAGCGGCTTGGAGCAACGGTGGTTATCGGCCAAGCGAGTTACGATGCATCATAGTGGCGATGTCATGGGTTGGAGGCTTGTTGGTGGGATGCACGAGGTGCGCGGCGGAACGGTGGGAGGGGTGCGGGGCCATTAGGCATGTCTTTGGGCGGCTGTCGCTGGGCAATTGCAGTGGGCGTGTTGTCTTGCAGTTTGCCATGTTGCTGTGCTGTGATGCGGTGCTGTTGTCTGGTGGGCGGATGTCGCACCCTCAGCCATATCCTCGCCTTACCCCATATCACATTCGATATCCCGGCTATGTGTGAGGATATGGGCGTTTCCACATCCCAGCATATGCAACTTTTCCCGACTTGGGGCCATGAAATTTGTCCCTCTGGTTTTGCCGCCAAGAACCTTCTTGCTTCAACACACTAGAACCACTGAAGCCACCGACTCACGTTGGCCTTGTCAGCGGAAGAAGGGATCCTCTCGGTAAGACGGAGGGACTGACGTATTCATGGCGCGTGCGCGCCACGTGGCCCGCTCCCAAGGAGCTTCCCACGCGCTGTACGTGCCCGTCACGGGGACGTCGCCACCAATTTCGGCCCCCAACGGCCAGAACATTCCATGACGTCATGCCCCCTTTCAGCAGATGCGAAGGAATCAAGAGTGTCCGCATCGGACCGCATCCCAGATCCCCCGGACGCGGCCCCGCCAGCTCGGACCGGACCCACCAACTGGGTATGACTTGCGGCCTCCGATCCGGCCAGAGTGTGATGCAAACATGCCGGATTCAGACACACCAACTGCCAATCAACCCTCCGCAGCCCGCATTCCCTCCGGCTTTGCCTGCTTCTCGCTGAGAACTCACACATCGCATCCCGAACGGAACTTGCCCGGCCGAACATAAATTGGCGGCCGCGCTGGCCCCAAGCCACCCCATCCCACCGGGCCCCACCCCCCCCCCACACCGCCACCGAGCGCCACACCGAGCGTACCTACCCACCGCCGGGCAGCCCTCGCCGGTGAGTGGCTTGCGTCGCTCCCCGGGATTCTCAATCGATGCCGTGGCGTCCACGTGGTCGGTTTTGCGACGGCGGCGGCGGCCGGCGGGTCGCCCAGATCTCTCCAACGCGCACATCTCTTCAGCGGCGCGGCGCATCTGCGCAGATGTTCCTTTTGCAGATTGGGGCCGAGCGAGTTCATCCCCATCCGTTCAGGACGGAACTTTTTGGAATGGGCTCGCACGAGTTGCGCGGGCTTGCGTGGTTGGCGAATAGGGCTGTGCACAGCGTCTCTTTTGCTTGTGTCTTGTGCGGTCCAGTCGGGAGCCATAGATCGCTCGAGCTCCACTTGGGGCTAATTGCGGATGGCTGCCCGTGCTTGGGAAACCTCGATGTCCTGGAGCTTCTGACCCGGATGCACACAACCGTGCACTCACTCGGATCCGCAAGTGACTGAGTGCGCCGGGCAATGGACACCGCACAGCGAACGCACAAATTCTTGCCGCCCATTTCGTGGCGTGATCTCAAGGCAGGGGCGCGCATGTCACCCTTCGCCTCGAGGTCGACGTGTCCGGAGGGCTTGTCTTGGAGGTCGGGGGCATCGACCTACGCCGATCTGACAGTCGATCTGATCTCACAAGCGCGTGTACTGCCGCCGCAGGTGTCGCGGACAACCATGAGGACCGCCGTCCTTCTCGCCCTCCTGGCCTTCGCGGTGAGGGGCCGGAGACCGCGCCGCCGTGCAGCTCCCCCATGCGCCTCCCTCCGTCCGGTCCCTGCCAGCAAGCTGTCACATCGTTTGCGGAAAGCCGGGAATAGCCATTTGGCCGCCTTGGAGAATGATTCGCCAGGAGTACCGCCGTTTGATGCCGCCGACTTGAAGGGAACCCGGCAGATGCTGACGTGTCATGTTGCTCGCACACGAGCCACCGCTGGTCGCACTCGCAGGATGGTTCGCCAGGAGTACCGCCGTTTGATGACGCCGACTTGCAGGCAGCCCGGTGGCTGCTCACACGTCATTTTGCTCACGCGCGAGTGACTATTGGTCGCGCTCTGGGCATGATTCGCCAGGAGTACCGCCGTTCGATGTTTGATGTCGCCGATTTTCAAAGAACAAGCGGTTGCTAACGTTTCATTGTGCTCGCAGGCCGCCGCCAACGCCAGCCGCGTCAATGTCCTCAGGAGCCTCCTGACGGGTAAGACGGAGCACGGACACCCAAACCCCGGGCACATTTCCTGATATCAGGGGCACCTTCGGAGTTCTCTATTGGAAAAATGATTGAGTGATTGGATGAATAGATGCGTAAATGATTAGATGAAAATTAACATACAGTAGACTAATATATGATTCAATGATTCAATGATTGAATGGTGTGAATCGGCAATGACTGGAATGAAGTGCCTGCAGTTGCGCAGGAGGAACGTTGGTACCGTCGTTGTTGTGCGTGGGCCGCATTGTATAAGTACGTATCGTGTCCTGCAACGGTGGCGTCGTTTCGCAGCATAATTCTCTCTTATGAAAAGAACAACAAAACGAGGAAATGACAGAATAGAAGCCAGGACGCCGTTGAGCACGACGAGAGTGGCGACATAGTCACCCCGCAGCCTGATTACTTGGACCCCCAAAACACCCTTTCAGGACAAATACCAGCAGCAAGTACTTCTGAAGTACTGCAAAGTACCGACACACACATACCGGTTTTGCCCAGAACATGGTTGAAACACTTGTTGCAGTGCATGCTTGCCACCGCAGTCGCATGAGGCCGGTTAAGATTTGGAAGAGCCCCTGGTTTGGATTCATTTACCCAGAATCTCGCCAATACCAGCGAATACTTTGTTGCGGGAAGCGACGTGTGGTATCATGGGGGCGAGTGGCCTGGGTATTTGACCAAATGTGGGTGCGTGCGCAGACGACAAGTATTGCAAGGACCACAATGGGCACAGCGACTGCCCTGAGTACCACGAATGCCAGAAACTGGAGAAGAAGGTCTGCACGAGCAAGCCAGTCTGCCATACGGGCAGCTATGGCGAGAAGAAGTGCAGATACGAAGAAGGTAGGCCACCAGGACCCTTTGACGGTACGAGCAGGGCACGTCCTGGAAGGGCAGTTTTAAGGAACATCCAAGCTGTGAATGGGGCTTCGTGTTGGCGCTGTGCTCCTTCTTCACGGCTCTG